TCGTATGCTAATAATGCAGATCTGCTATTCAATGATACATAGTCCTCGTCAGGAACGCATTAATGCACATAGATAATAACTAGCTAGCATTAAACTATCACTTCGAATCGATTAGCATACAAATTTACAAATTTGCTCAATATTTACGGAACAAATGAAACACATGCGCGATAAAGAGAAAGGAAATATTATAAATTATAAACAAGTGTAAAGCAAGTGCAAATAATTGAATGCAAAACATACACGGGCTGACACAAAACCAATAGTATAAATTTACAAAAAAAATAATGATTTTGCTATTTATCTAGATTTCTAAATATATAAATCATTTTATTGGATTAACAAAATAATTATGTAATAGGAGTTCAAGCATAATGAGTAATGATGTAAACAATTTGACATTCTGTCAAATCAATTTGAATGTTCTACAATTACTTTCATAGTTCAACAAAATTGTTTTCAAATCTATTTCTAGTTTAATTCTTATCTCAGCAAAATCGTTTTTTCTGTATGTACTAAGAAAATTTAAGCTTCCCCGAATGTTTTTAAGCTGTTATCAAAATTCATCGTTTCGCTCTAGTAAGAATGGAGTTGAATTTTATTTTTTTATCATTCGAATAATTCTTTTACGTGTACCAAATCGTTTTAACGAACTTCTGACCAGCACTAATTGGAACGCGTTTAAACTTGCATGCGAATTCGATTCGAACTGTACGTGGCAATGGCGAACTTGGATACATCCGTCGGATACTCTGAGAAACTTTATACGTATATAAAGTAAAATGCAACAACTTTAGTGACATAGCATATCTTAATCGGTGAAACTTTTATCTCGAATACGAAATAACGGCCAATTCTTCGCGTATTTTTCTTTTTTACTAACTTTGACATAAACCGCCTCATAAACGGCGACTCGACGACGATGTGCAGTTTGATCGCCGATCGAAAGCGTTGTTGTCGGTGTTTTTCTTTCCTTTTTCCCGAACCATGTACGACCGCTATCGCAAGTGAATTCTCAAACAAACGTCGAGTGTCGATACGAAATGGCGAACACGGTTCGTCGTATTTCGGCGATTAATCATCCAAGTGCGAGTAGACACGGCGGTATCCCGTTGTGTCCGCAAAAGATCGAAATTGTTCAACCCGCGGTCGATGTAGCGTCCAAACAGAATGGACTGTTGTTGGACATTTTGGTTAACACATTAATATCGAAATAATATGGCACAAAGCATATCAGAAAAGTTGAAGTGACTCGACCCTCCGGTCGACATTCAGCAAAGCTCTACATAACATTATTCATTTTCTCTTAAATATTCTATTAGAGTTCATTAATTAAAAATGTACATATTACATAATTATTACACAATTATATATTATAATTCTGTAATCAGTTATCGTAATTTATTAAAATTTATCGCGGAATTAATTAGACAAAACAGATGTAGTTAATTAAAAATTTAATATCTGTCTAAAAAATATATCAAGGTACATGTCGTATATTCTGAAATAAAAATGTAACAGTTCGCCAGTTGATACATGAAATGTAAACCGTCTTAATCCTATATATTCCGAAATCCTATACATTCCATTATTCGTTACTGGCTACGTTTACACCGTGCATTTAGGTTGCAAGCTGTACAATAGGTGTCCTTGTTTATCCTGTAGGTTGAACAAAGACACCTGTCGTATAGGTGGACTAAGCACACGGTGTAAACGTCATTGACCTATTGAGCTCTCAAAAGGGCTCTGCAGTAATATTGATCACCGTATTTTGATACAAAGTGACCGTAAACCAGCAGTGTAAATCAACGATAATCGAGATAACACTTCCGATAGATTTGGAACAGGGACGATAGATAGAATGCAGAGGTCGTGGTAAAATGTTTGGGGGCAAAAAGCGGATGACACGATGGAGATCGCGTGACCGCCGAGCAATGTCGACATAAATTATTTATGAATTACAGTGCCTGGTCATCGGTGCGAGAATGTAGGCGAGTGAGATCTGAGAGACCGTGCATAAATATATATATGCACAAAGCACACTCACATACATCACGCGTGCGCATATGTATGTATGTATGTATGTATGTGAATGTGCTTTGTACATGTATATTAGTATTTGTACAGTGTGACTTGTAGAAGCTGCTATTCTTAAAGATAATGTTCGTCATCGCGATGATACTCGACAAGAAAAGAATGGAAGGAAAAGGACGGAGTGAGGAAGAACTTTTCTCAGAGATGTTAGATAGAGAATCTGTGAAATGACCACATAGTTTCTCCATAAGTTAATCCCTAAGCTAACTTTGCTATCTTTTATCAATCGCCATGAGCCACAGATTTTCTACATCAGTAATAAATAGCCTTTCGAATGTTTAATATATGTTTTTTCTTTTCAATAACTATTTTTTACAAACTTTTAAATATGCCATTACTGTGAAAACTGCCATGAAATAGCGTTACATTAAAATCTTGTTTTTTAGAAATATTATCACAATAAGCTACTTAACGTACGTATTCCATAATTTAATATTTGTTTGGTTTCTACTTACATTTTTCAGAAAATGATAATTAAAATCCATACTTCTCTTCTCTCTCATAATTCTCAAATAATAATAAATCGGAAAACAATAATATACAATATATTGTTAATAATAGTGATTTTAATTAGGATATAAAAAACACCAGATAATTTACGTAAAAAAAAAATCAGGTGACTATTGCCGACTTAATATTCAAATCAATTCAGAACTGACGCCTCAGCTACTTTTTAATTAAAAATTAAAAGAAAGAAAATAAGAGTATAGTTGAAAATAAGGAATGTGTGTTATTCAATCATACTTATAATTAGAGTTTTAATATTAAAAGTAGACCTATGTCGCTGACAAAATCTAATTGTAATTCAAATAATAGCTTATGACTGAAACACATATACGCGACTTTTTACTACAATACAATACAATAATAAAAAGCGCAATTTCATAAATACTAATAATTCTAAGAAGCGTTCACAGAAAAGATAGTTTATAGTAACGCGATGCAATTTATCGCAAATAGTGCGTGTTGCAAATTTCATCGAATACAGACACGAAATCGCACTTATACTGTTAGAAGGCGTAGAGTTAACACGATTACAGCATAGCAATAATGTTACTTAGAAATATATTATAAAAATACTCATTGTTGACCGCGATAGAGAGATAAAGTATCTTTACGAACTCAACTGTGCACGCAATTTTTTCACGCACGGAGGAACACGTCGCGATTGTCTCGAAAGAAACGACCGTGTAACTTTTACTTCGTAATTAAATTAAAAGCCACAGCTTAAAAAGATGACAATCTCTCTAAAGCACATTACGTGCTATACATATAATTTATACTTTTCCGGTCATTATTTAATGCGGAATTTTTCCGTATCGTTACATTCAGTATAATAACGACATTATTCCTTCACAAATGTTTTCGCCACAAAAAATTTATCGATCATCTTTTAAGTCGTCGCAAAAAAAAAAGAATTTAAAACGGTTTATGCGATATACTAAAAAATTGTACCTAGAGACAATGTTCTAAAACTCTCTGGACCAAGCAGCGGATGCTGGCATGTTGTTTTGTTCGTGCTTTAATCTCTAGATTTGTACTTCGGAATCCGTGCAGCAAAACTGTAAAGTTCTCGTGAAATGTAAACGCAACGATGAGAAAAGAAATATATATTCCGCTCGTTGCGCGCGATACAATGGCGTATTTTGTCAAGCTACGCTTCGATGCGCGTTTCAATTTGTTACAACAACAAAGAACGTCTGTTTCACACGTCGCGTACTAATTATAACTTAAATTAGAGAGGTTCCTTGATAAGAAATGCAAGAATGCGTGCGAAGCATCGCTATAATATTCCTGCCGTTTTTATGAAATCATGAAAATGTAAAATGAATCATCAAGTACAAATCGGAGCGAGGATCAAGTAATTATGTGATAATTAAAATTCTGACATAATAACAGTAATTATTCTTTCATATCTAATATAAATTTTAAAAGATTTTCTCAGGTTATTTTAACGTTAAATCCAAAAAGCTTTCATCGTGTATTTTTAAAGATAATATTATTAATATAGAGACTAACATTCTGTAAGTCTAGTGCAGAAAAATCGATTATACATTATTTACAGCATTGGTAAAGAAAAAAAGCAGTTGGCGAATTTACTCAGATCCGAAGACGAATTAACTACTCGTTATCAGCAGTTGGCATTGCCGGCTATTTTTCGTTCGACGATATATATACGGGGTGATTTCTATCGGAACGAAATCGAACTATTACGCGCAGGCAGAACGGGGAATTGGAACGAGCAGATTCGTTCGAATGGACCGACCGTACTACAATCGGGCCTGGATTTTCTCCAAGACGAGGACTTTCGTCGGTTGGATAAAAGAAGAGGGAAAAAAAAAACGAAAAATGGGAGAAAAGTTTCCCGTCCCGGTGAAAACCGTTGGACAGGTATTAAGAAAGCACTCGTCGCGACTGTACGAACTTTGCCGTGCCATTTCGAAGATTGGATTCTTATTGAGGATTTCATCGTATCAATCGTCGTTTCCTGGCGACGAGACGAGTTCCTTTCGCGATCCGAGATATGCTCGGCGATCCGATATGAGCGTAACAGGGAAAAGATTATATGGAAAACGGGCACCTAAATCCTAGATGCTTGACTGCTTGCAATATTCAATATTCGATGCAAGACAACTCAATGGACTTTCGAAGAAAACTAAAATTTTGCCAAATGTTTCATTCATAATTATGAATTTTACTGTTACGTAAACTTTTACTGGTATATTCACTTCTTTCTTAAACTTTAGACACAAATGTGTTTTTCCTTATAAGTACTTTAAACAATTTTAAAAGCGTTCATATAACGTTTAATTGCAATTTATTTCAATTAAAAACAATATTTGATACATTTCTCAAATTTATATAAGAAAATCTTGGTAAAAATAATATGAAAAAGTTGTACTCACTTTAAGAAGAAAGCAAAACGTTCACGTGTTTTGGATGTAATCTTCTTTTTCTATCTGAAATAAAAAAGAAACACAAAATTAATAAAATTCAAATCATGAAAAAGATATAAACACGTAAATATAAAGCAACTTTGTTTATGATATTATACAAAAATAGTACAAAAAAAAAACTTAAAATCGTATACTTCAATTAATTATATATATTCAATTAATTATATTTTACATCTATCAATAAATAACCTAAATTTATCGTTGAGTATCGATAAGTTCCATGATATAGAATTAATAGTTTTCAAGAATCACAAAAAATTATTTTCACTACTTCGTTAATTGTTTATCTTATTTTATCAAGATATTTTTATCTCTTCTTAAATTATTACTCTCTATAAATCTGAATCAGTGGATAATCTACTGAAATGACATATTGTACTTAGTATTGAATTATCAGCATATCATATTAGCATATTTGGCACTGGATAATCAATGAAATTCAACTATAAAAAAAAGAAGTTTGAGCATTATACAGTTAAATATATAGTTAAGATATTTGCACGTTCTAGTACATTGTAATTCGAATCTTACAATACTATATATGTTGAATGCGTGCGGCTACACTTAGGTATACACTGAAGCAAGGTTAAAGATACCACATTTCATTAATTAATTAACAATGGCATATTTGGCACTGAATAAATAATTATCTACTGATTCAGATTTAGAGAGTACATTTGTTAAAACATAATATACAGAGTGTTTGGAAAAGAATGATAAATTTTTCGCATAAGGATAGAATGGATTAAATTGAGAAGAAAGGTCTTCTACCATTTTGCAATTTTTGCAAGAGTTAGAAAAAATTCGTAAAGTGAGAAGAAAATAAACAATTTTTGTCTCTTGCAATTTTTCTGTAAAGTCATAGTATTTGAGTAAAAAATTATTGAAAACCAATTTTCGACAATTTTTGCAATTAATATCTTATTAACTATTGCGAAAATTGCAAAATGATAGAAGATCTTTCTTTTCAGTTTAGTCCATTCTGCCCTTAAAAAGATTTATCATTATTTTCCAAACACCCTGTATATTAAATATTTGTAATCGATATCTTAAAAATTGAAATACGAAAAAATGACAATTTTTTTCTGCTAATGAGAAGGAATAAATAATGTTCACTTTATTTTTCAATTTATTACTCGATTGTTAGATTGTATTATTATCTGATCGAGAGACATTCTTTTCTTTTACACTGTTTCATCATTGATTCTTGCAATTAGAATGCGAAATCGTTAGAATAATATAATACAACGGGCAATGTCCGAAGGACGAGGTGATCCCACTAACGGAAAAAATTGCGAATAAATAGCAGTTATAAATGCGCGCTATCGTCGTATTATTATGCCACTTTTGCATGGCATGACTAGCACGAAATAACGCTATGTAATACAGCAGCAAAATAGCTTTTGTGTGTGTGTGTGTGTGTGTGTGTGTATGGGGGGGGGGAGGAAAAGATTTTAATAAAGTACACCGAGTTTAAGATTCGCGATATAAAATGGCTTGGAATGACGAACTGAAACGTGATGTTAAAATGATGAGAGAGAATTCATGGAAATTGTACATTCCGCAAAATGAATTTCATAAAAAGAAAAAAAATTCAACTAAATCGCACATTCAGAAATACACGGAAGTTTTTAAATTTTTTTTTCAGATATATAACAAATTTTTTTGTAATTTAAATTGAAATTATAATTCCTATTTCTCAGCGTTTTTGAATTAATCTAAATAATAACGCAAGCAATATGATAATAACTGAAGATTAAAGTGCAACGAGATTAAAGTGCACGCAAAAAGAAACCATAAAAATCGTAATGACAATACAGGCGTATTATTTTTTTTCCTCGGTGCCGCCTACACGATGACCTTTATTTTTAACTGGAAAAGGTAAACACACGGTAAATCCCCGGAGTACGAGGAATACGAGTTGCACAGATCCATTCATAGAGTCAACAAAATTTATTTGCTAAACAAATGGCCTTTACCTTCTATTTTTGATAGATTGTATGAAACTTCCCACGTATCTCCAATAAATTTATAAAGTTGAAAAAATACGAATATTCGAGCTTTGACGTGAGCTGAATATATAAGTTCTTAACAGCTGATATTAAAATTTTTCATGATATACCGGCAGATTTCCTATCACTCTTTTTTTTTATGAAAAAAGAAGACACGCACACAATGTGAAAAAAAAACTTGAAGTCTCTCTCTCTCTCTCTCTCTCTCTCTCTCTCTCTCTCTCTCTCTCTCTCTCTCTCTCTCTCTCAGCGCTACTTTCTTCATGAAAATGCGAAATTCTAAATCTCAAATATTTAATTAAAAACTTTACAGAGATTTAAATTTATTTCTGCATATTTAATATCGCAAGATTCGGCGGATTTGAAAGATAAGTAATTGAAATATGAAGTTCAATTTTGGGGCTTTAAAAAGGACTTTAAAAAGGACTTTAAAAAGGAGCTATCCCGTTTCTCGAGTACATACACCCAAAACCTGGACTAATGCGATTCTCTTGCGAAACATGAACGCATCCTATTGGACGGTGTGATCGCGTCTCGTGTTACAGGCAGATTCAATTAAATGTCGGGCATCACAGACAACCAATGCGAGAGTATCGAGTCAGAACCGACTCGATTTTCGGCGACGGTACATTACCGAACAAAAGTCCGAGTTACGTTCAATTCAAAGCATTTCCCGAAAATCCTGTGTTTTCAAAAGAGCGAGAAATAGAACGCCATATTGAATCCTCCAAGCTTAACGTATTGCAACTTCGAACGCAAATTTATGAGGATTTAAGAACAGAAAAAAAAAGAATCAATTATAGATTTTTCCTCAACAAAAGACTTATCAATTATTTAATAATTGCATTCAAATTCTTAATGATTATAGAAAATGAAATAATTAAAGATTTGAAAATTCAAATAGGAAGATAATAATGACAGTTTTTAGATCAACTTCTGACTCACAATACACATACACATATATTGTGTATATATATATATATCATTTTTTAACCAGTTAAATTCGCCTTTTACTTTTGATATGGTTTTTTTTATTTTTCCGATCAGCGATTTACGAGTTCACTATTTCGATTTGGCGATATTGTGTGAACAGGAAAAGAGAAGGTGAATGAGTAAACGAATATATCTTTTTATTGCGACTCTGTTTTAATGGACGAATCGACGGTGGAACAGTACGTGATAAACAAACGGATCTTGAACAGGAAATTCGATTCGAGAAGTCGTACCGACACGTTTTATTCATGGTGCTCGAGTCTGAATGCTCGAGGAGATAGTCCCTTCGTTCACGACGTGTTTTATCGCGTAATCAAGCCAAAAGCGAAATCTACGGTCTTCGAGCTTTCTCTCCCTCCTTTCTCTCTTTCGGAGTAAAGAAAAAGGAGTAGAGACTATCTAAACGAGAGACGATCTCTGTTACACGTTTCAAAACTCCTAAACCTCATCCTTTGGGGTAATAATACGAGAAAAAACGCGAATTGCCTTTAAGAAATATTTCATATGTATACCACTGCGATCGGAAATATATCTAGCGTAAAGTATAAGAATTTCATGAAGAATCTCCATTTTCATTATATGAAAATGGAGATTAATTATCTATTAATCTATGGATTGATCGAGTTTCAGATGGATTCAATTTTTTACAAACAAAACCAAAGATACTTAATCAAAGATATTTAACAATACTATATATTCAGCATCGCAGTATTTAACGTGTAAGAATACTTACATTATGTTATATGTATAATCTTAACCAATATTAATATTTTGATCTTATACATTAAAAAATTGCTTAGCAATTTAATATTTATATACTTGCTATTTTTTATATACAATTCTTCATTATTTTAAAAAGTGTCTACTTTATTCGATTCGTCTTTGAAATACCATGTATAACAGGGATCGTCCTTGGGTACGACTTAACGAAATCGAGTTTTTATCCGCTTTATCCGTAGCTTCCGTCGTTCGCTCGATGGAACGTGAAAACCCGCGAGAGGCATCGGTTATACAGAAGAACGGCTTCCGCTGTGTCACGAAGATTGGACCAGTTCCAAGTCGCGAATCGATTGACCCCCAAAACCAATCGGAAACACAGGGTGTGCAAAATCTTTATACTCACGAAGATTTCTTAAGACTTCTCTGATCAATCCAAAGATAAACTTTTTTTTAATAAAACTATCGAGAAATCAATAATATTAAAAATACTCGAGTAAGATTAAAACGAGAGTACGGATAAATAGTTAATAAAATTAAATGTGAACTTTATTTAAATAGAATTATATTTTATATCATATTTAGTTACTAAAATATCAATCACTGCCAAGTAATTAATATTTGGGATTAATAGGTTATCGAAAAATAGTATAAATAGAATAAATCACACTGCAAACACCTAATAAAAATTAAATAAGCTTTATTTAAGTAGAATTATACTACTACTTTATGGCATTTGGTACTAAAATATTGATTAACGTCAAGCAATTAATATCTGAAATTAACAAATTCTCAAAAAATAATACCAAATCTCGAGTCAAGATTGAATCAAGAGATTGAATCATAATTTGATGTGTCACCCTGTACATTCTCCGTGAATAAAGAATGAAGAAGCGATAGAAGAGATAACTGCATCGCGAAGCAGCGATCTGTCAGATGGTAGCATTGGCTGACATTTACATACAGTTGAACAATCGTACGTCATCTCCGCGAGTTGTAAAGTAAAAGTTAGCTTCGTAACAACACGCGCATCGTGCACCAATGATTTTCGCTTATACAGGGTGTCTTGCAGCTAACAGAACGCGAATATGCAATCCTTGTACGAAAAGAACGACTATTACTAAAGTATCTAAAAGTTTAAATAGATACAGATCTAAAAATAATTTTGTTGGAATATCAAAATAATTATGTACAACGATCAAGTTGATTGCTCGGATGTCAAAACTTTTGACAATATTGTTCCTCATGCTTAAGTTTTCTACATAATTTTAACGGTCCAAC